ATGGACGAGTTTTATACCGCATGCACTATGATTTCAAAACTTCTGAACCTACATCAAACCTCAACAAGTTCTCAAATAATGTAAAAGAAGAATATCCATTGTAATTCATCACTCTTTTATATTTTTACTTTATACTAACTCTCTTCTGATTGGCCAATGTCCTCAAGGTCACTTAAAAATTCGTTCAAAGGTCGTCCATAAAGTAGAGTTTCACCGGCAAAATGGACAAGTGACGAATAAAATATATGATGTCTAGAGTTTCTGTCACTTCAGCTTTCCGTCCACACATAAGCATTGGTTGAAATTATTACACCACTTGAGTAACACGTCATCGTAAAGTAAAGCAATATAGTCCACGTTTGTTGAGGTGTCTTTCTGAAGATAATGTATACGTATGTCTGCTACCTCCAAAACTTAAGACTTCACCGATGCTAAGATGCATGGAGAATGATGAACTCTATCTGAACCGTTCTAAAGAGGACAAAACAAACGGGACCCATCCATTATCAAGTTTGAAATATTATAACCATATGAATAGAACTGAACACAGTATAACTTACTTCTTAGATTATGTTGACTGGCTAATTATCTTTATGAAGCATATTATTGAGTGTAGCGGTTCGCATCTGGCCTGAGGGAAGTTGAGTACTGGGTAAGTATGAAAAATTTAGTTAAGTGAAGCTGAGATAAACATGGGGAAAGGTGAGTCAAAGACTGAGAAAGCTCGAAAAATTTACTTGCATTTGACAGTAAGAGCGACCGAGAATAAATAACAATGACAAGCAGAAAACCTAAACAATTTGACCCTAGAAACCATAAGCTAATGAAGCAAGGTTTCGAGTACGTTACGGCAAGGGAAATACGGAATGCCCGCTTCCAGTCAACGCGTTCAAGGTCGTTGAAACGAAACGGCGGACAGATTTGAAAGGGATTACCGTTTTTACCTTGCCGTGTGTGCGTTGGGTCCTATGAGTATTAAATGTTTCCATATATAAGTCATCTTTTGATGCATAATAAACACTAAATAACTGCTAAGAGCATTAACTGAGTATTTTCTGTTTTGTAGTGCACACTTTAGCTCTGTTGTTCCTTCGAAACTTGATCTGTGGTCCTAAGTGCTGTAGTGAAAGTCAACAGCTATATATAATTTGTTGATAAGGTCCAGAAAACAACGTAAGAAAGATAAAATAACGTAAAAGGTTATAGATGCGCCTAGTTTTTGTGAGTTAAGACGAAATGTCAACTGAAGGGTAAGTCCTAAATATTTGTTGTTCTTCCTTCAGTTAATTTTTTTCAAGGAATAACCTTTTTTTAATAATTATTGTATGTTGTCTCTAGTGCTTCATGCTCAAATGAAATTTCAGTGAACGTAAGCGACGCGTTCCAACGTATTATGCTGAACAAGAGATTCGGAAGCTGGATTGAATTAGATAATGCGCTAAAGGATTTCCATAAAGTATGATAGGATAAATCTATGTTTTCTCAGATGACCAATACACACTATGTTCACGCAGGAAGTAGATTGTTGAAGGATGTGAGATATAAATACTTGTTCGTAGTGTTTCGTTGCACGTTTGGTCGTAAACGTAAATCAGAAGGTCTGAATGTGAATAAAAAACCGTGAGGACTCTAACTAATGTGTTACATTTAAGGTCTAAATTTTTAAATTGCCAATCGATGTTTCGCGTAAGATTGGAGGGTCAACAATACGTTATAAAATCTTACAACATGTCTCACAACCATCCGTGTACTAGTTCGTGGATGGTTTGTGATCCGTTGAGTAGACGATTGTCATCAGAAGAAAAAGAAAACTTGAAACCAGTTGTATTGCACTGTCAGTCGACGGACGAAGTTATCGGAAGTATTAAGGAAAGAACAGGTAAGCAGGTGATCGCTGCTGATGTCAAAAATATGAAAGCTGAACTCTCCACTGGTAAGTGTATATAAATATATTTCAGGTTGGACTCGGAAGCAGGTATTGCAGATGATGCGACAAAACGGTGAAGTTAGAGAGCATGCAGAAAATGGATGTATTACGGCGATATGCTTCAGCAGTTATGATCAGATACGGCTGTACAATCAATATCCCGAAGTCGTGTGTATTGATTCTACTTATAAAACTAATAATAAAAAGTGAATATGATTTTCGTTTTGTTCTACTATGTAGATATTCATTATTCCACGTAAAACAATGTGGGCGCGTGCCTTTTACGGCAGTATATTAACTTTGGGTAACAACACGAATAATCGTGTTGAGTCATTAAATAGGCAGATAAAAAGATATGTACGCAAAAGCGACAGCTTGCACAAATGCATGTACAAGGCTTTTAAGTGGAGTTCAATGACTTTCTCTAGAAAAAGCATTGAAGACCAAATAATCAGTGGACGAACATACAATTATGATGCTCCACAGCGTCTTATACCCTTGCTGAACATGTTGACTCCATTTGCAAGATCCAAAGTGTTATACGAACTTTAAAAAATGCGTTTCGTTAACTTAGAATATGAAAGTGGCGAGTGGTTGTTTATGCTTGACCGCGGACAACATTACGAAGTGGATGTAAGTATTTGTGAATGCAATTGTAGCACGTTTAATATGTGTCGATATCCGTGCCGCCATCTCCTGCTGGCATATAGTAAAAGACGAAATCTAACAGGTAAGCTATTTAAATTATAAAATATAAACTGCATAGCTCATCAACTTCTTAGGTGTTGCTGCAGATGGAAATTAGACAATACGCACAATTTACAAAACAACACAGGAATTTCATTACCGAGACGGAGTAAAGAATATATACAACTTCAACGGCTCCAAAGAATGTGCAAACAACAAATTGTTGAGAAATATGGTGAACGCTTCGCGAATCAGGTGGAGAGAAAAGTCTACAATTTTTACTTAAGAATTATAAACAGCTAGACAGCAGGTTTACGATTAACAGTTCTTTGTGGCTTTATTTGAGACCACTATTTATACAACTTGTAAACTTATCTTTCCACTTTAGTAGTCATGAAAAATCAATAAACTTTTTCTCATTTTTTATTTTCGTCTTCTTCATACTTTCATGGGGAGGTTTACCAATCGCTTTAACGAATAATTGTGTGTGAAAATTAAGAATTTGTACTACTGTATTAGTTACGAACTGTCGTTAGAACTTAGCGTTATATTGTTGTTCATTGTGAGGAATCAACGAGTCAAATAAAATAATAATGCGAATTCCACGTAAAACCTTACAGATTAAACAACCGCCTTACATATTTTCCGTTGTCAGCTTACGTCCATTATCAAGTTAGTATTAGTATGGAACTAGACAATTTCATGCAGCTAGTTCCTTGATAAGATAGATTACGTAATCCTTAGACCACCCTTCCACTCACACTTCTTTGCTAAATTATGTCAACTCTTCAGGTTGTCTTCACTTATCTTATTAGTTCTTAATTCACTGATTTATTCATTACATCTAGAATTATCACACAATTGATCTTATATGCTTCTGAGCTTCACTCGACTATTACACCACCCATCCTTTATGTTCCCTTAAGTCTAACACCAAATGACCTTTGACCTGTTCAAGTATATACATATGTATAGTTATTATTGATAACCTAGGTCATTCCAATTCTTTGCTTTCTATTATCTTTCATACTATTTCTTCCCTCAATCTTAAATTATAATGCATATTCAGTTGTATGCAACTTATGAGAAACCACGAAATGTAATGCAGTCACATGATTCTGCGTCAATATTTGTTTTGGCTTTATTTAGACCATAATTATACAAACTTACAGGATTTATAATATAAAACACTGCGTATGGCTGCTATATTTATATTTAAATAATTCATTAGATGAATGAGCATAGCAGTAGGCAATATAAAACAGTTATCGTAAACTTGTAAACCGGTTTTCCACACGATCTTCCGTAATCCTAAATTCCATAAGCTTCATACTATTCTGAAAAACAACAAATCCGTTTTGAGACAAACAATTAAACTTTGTTCTCAGTATCATATTCAATAAGTTATTCAAATAGCAAGTAACAGACTGTGCCTATAAGTCTTTTATTAACAAGTAGTGACATTCATTCATAACTTCCTAAGTAACACAACAACTGTATTACCGAGACGGAGTGAAGAGTATATAATAACTCATTTGTGAACCCTATAACAGACACGTCACAAATCAGTATTAACTAAAAAACATGGTTGTGTCACCATTCTCACAAGAAACACCGATCGTTTTATTCATGAAGATTTTGTTCCTACTTGATGTGGTGTTATACACTATTACTGCAGACTTTCAGAAAGCCGCTGGACAACACTATAAACGTCAATTGTTACTCACATATTTTTTTTAGATACGTTACATAATTATGTCACTTCAGTACAAAACAATGGTACCTCTAATGGATATAACTTTTTATGGCTAAATACAAACAAGTTATATAATATTCACAATTAGGTTAACGCTTGATTGCTTCTACTTACATTTTATAACAACTACCGACATCCATGTTCACCGTCACTGCAACCAAGGAGGTGAACCATATGTAAAAGATTTTACGGTTCATTTTCATGAAAACCCAATCTGTGATGTATTTTTTGACTAGAAACACGGTGAACTTTACTTGCTTGAGTTTGTATTGTTACAAATAACTATATTAAGCTAACTTCAGATTTACTTACGTGGTGAGCAAGAAGTACGTCAAACTGCCAATAAATTGGAATAAAAACTATGTTACAAGCACTAGCAATACAGAAATTGATGTGTCATGCAAAAAAGCCTGTTGATAGCTGATAAATAACGACACAAAAAATCCACGACAATATGTAACGTGTGCGCGAAAATCCGTGGCTTAACCGCCAGTCCGTGCCCGCACACACGGCAATTGAAATACGGAATGCCCGCTTCCAGTCAGCGCGTTCAAGGTCGTTGAAACGAAACGGCGGACAGATTTGAAAGGGATTACCGTTTTTACCTTGCCATGGTTATGTGACCATCGAAATCAAAATGTGTCCGCTGAAAATGTCCATGTTGTTAAAGTCTCAATACTGAGACATGTCACTCGAAATTGACGTCGTTCATTGTTTTAAACTAAACTCTCTGAATGCGGCAATAATATTTATCAAGGCACCTCAATCCTTCGTTATTTGACTATTCACTGTTGAGTGAATGCTGGTTGACAGACTGTTATTAACTAGGTATTATGAACGCTGTTTTATGTGTCGATCAGATTTGTGAATGGTAATTTATGGGATCCATTTATGGACCGATACTGAACGTATATTTTTACTGTATAATTGGTATATAACTAAACTATTCATATTCGTGTTCCTCTTATAATAGGCTTTATTTTGATCTATAAAGTATTATTATGCTATTTACTATTCCTGAATTATGCCCTGTCTATTACTCACTACCTCTCACACTCACAGCCACTTTCGGTTAAATCTTGTGCAAATGTTTTTTTTAATTTTAGGATACGACGTGGTCTGTTTGATTAGTATGTAACCTCAGTATGTTTGAAATATAGTGACTCATATCACAGAGGCTCGGATTGATGTTTGGACTAAACTGGCTGGTCTAGGCATGAATCAGCAGCGATAAGTGCCCTTGACTTCTCGTACAGGTGTTATGAGTCATTGGTTTGATCGATAAGTCACTGCTCTCTAATTGGCGGTATCATTACGCTATACATTACCAGGGCGCTGATTATGGGATATTTTTAGAGTGTCTAGCTGACATTCAAGTAGAAAAGAGGCAAGGTGTAGATTGGATGAATCAGTGACAGTTTTTCCGCAGCATCGCTAAACAAGATGACGAATTTGAAAACCAAACACACTTCCATATGTTCATCAGTGATTGGTTACTTGATTATACAATGCTTGGTTAATAATCGGTTCTGTTCTCATGGAAATATGTTCTCGTCGATGTTTACGACCGAGAAACAATCGGTCTTTTCATATCATATGTGCATGGTGTGCGAGTTGCTTTAATATTGACATTAAGTCACAAATAATAAAAGCGGAGATGGGTGGTAGCCAGCAATGGAATCCAGGACGCGCGTCACTTCGTCTCATTTGAGATTCGTCAACTGGCTGTACCTGCATCGCAGAGTTGATGTTTCCCAGCGATACTCGTACTCAGTATTGTGTACTAGCGCGAACTTTGAAAGTGGTAACATTTTTTTCACGTAGTTTAGGAATTCTTCGACTTGCTCTTTTGTAGGGTGTATTATACTGTGATTATCATCCTATCCTGTACATCGAGAACATCTCACCTCGAAGCATAAGAAAAAACTTATTTTTATTCGACGGACAATTACCAGTTCGTATTGTATCTATTGTGGACTTAAGTCGTAAATAGGTCTGCAATTTATTATATACTCACAGTCTCTAATCCTAGTATTAACCAGGTTAATACTTAATAACAACTAATACTCAGATATTATATTTAATTTAACGAGCACTGTGCTCACTTATATTCATATCATGTCCAATAACTCAAGTAAAAGAGGAATTTCACCAACTTCTAAGCCAAATAAAAGGTCCAAATCTGTAACCCCTACAACTGACGACTCAGTGCTTGACAATGTCGAACCTTTAACTACTGAAAAATATGTGCATTGTACACAAATGTCCCTATCGTCACCAGATTCTCCATGTCGCAGCCCCTCTATCTTTACGTGCAGTATGCCAACGGTAAGACTGATTGACATACAAGACACTATACCTACGTGCATTGAAAAGTCAGCACAGTCTACTAAACAGTATGTGCTACCAAGGCCTAAGTCTAAAATTTCAAAAACTAAATAGTCCAATGGTCCACCTCATACACACCAAAATACTGATAGATATAGTAATGACATCCGACAGCTACAAAACTCTCTATCCGAAATTAACGGCAAACATGAGCAATTAGCACCCCTCACTCATATATGGAGCCTTGACACAGACAGAAATCTTGAGCAACTCACTAAAGCTGAGTGTATTTTGGAGTTTGTGGCTGAAGAAGTGACGAAGAGAGTGATGTCCTCCTACAATGCAGTTGTGTATAACCTCC